AACATTTTTGAAGCAATCATTTACTAAATCTGACTCTTGATGAGGTCTCCAAAATCCAGGCTTCAAGTTAATACTGTTGGAAGTAATGGCTTCAAATTTGTTTTTATCAAATATTGAACACTTTGTGGCATTGTACGTAACAGAATAGAACCCTTGCTTTGATTAGCAAGTCAAACAACCACTTAAAACATAGAACTCTTCCAATTAACAAAGTAGACTTTTTATCTTTATATTATAAGATAATTCTTAAATCGAATTTTTTGTTTTACAGTAGATTTAAATTTCATATTATTTGTCGGTTTGATTATATGGATCAAAAGTGAAAGTCAACATTCCCAGGTCAAATTTGCTTGTCGTTTAGTTAAATTAAATTAAGGATACATTGATTGATTACAATTGCGTTTATCTTTTATTATCGAATATTTATTCAATGATTTAGCAAGTTGAATTGGTAAAATTAAGCAATTATTCATTAAATCTATTTTTAAATTGAATGGATAATTCATTTATATATGAGGTAAATTTATTTTATTTAGGATCATATAAATCATATTTTGATGTCTCTTAATTGCTAAGAATCATCAATTTATCTTCCATCATTACTTTACCTTGTTAAATTATTTAATATGGACTTAATTTTAATAGCTTTATAGATACTTAATCAATTATAAAATCTGAAGGCATGATTTAATTGTTGATTGATAAATCTAAATGCGAAGGTAACTCTTGCAAATTATTTGTAGTCAAGTCAGCACGGTTAAAACGTATGAGAGAATTCTCAAAATTTATTTCACTTAGAATACTTTCACCAGCTAAATAAATCCCTCCACCCTCTCTTGCTTTATTGCATTAAATTTGTGAAGAAATTATGTTAAAATCTTTATTATTGAGATCAAAATACAATCCCCCTCCTAATAAAGTGGCAGTATTATTCAAAATCTTGATGTTTAGCAGAACTGTCCTGACGTTTGTTGAAGATACAGCTATTCCTTAGCCACCAGTATTATTAATAAAACGAGAATTTCTAATAACTAACTTACTTTGAATTTGTTTATCGGATAAAGCATTAATACATCCAAATTGTTAAATATTATTTCCAATACATTATAGTTCTTGAATCGTTATCTTTAAGAATTCAAGTAAGTAAAAATAGATTAAGCCATTCTTACAAGTTTTGCGATCATTATTTAAGAAAGATATAGATTATGAGCTTATTTTTGTTAAATTTTTGAAGATTTAATGTATAAGATCGATCCCGTTTTAAGTGGAATATGATTAAATCAATTCAAAATTATTTTATCTTACCATTAAATCTTCTTCGCTTATTGGAAGGGATACAACCTTTAATTTCTAACATTGAGAGTATTCTATATAGAAATTTGGGTAACTTTAAGGAGTTAATATCTAATACTAATAATTAAACATGCTTATTTTTGATACTTTTAGGTTTAGAATCTATATTATTGTTTTAAATTAAGCAACTTATTCAATATGAATCAAATGCAAATTATAAAATAAAGTAATTTAACTAAATTAAATATTCACTATTTAAATTTTTTTGCAATTTATCAAATTTAGTATGCCAAAAAGTGCAAATCCTTCATATTTAACATTATAAAATTTTAAATTGCATCCTTAAATATTAAAAATAGCATTTTTTTAAGTAATTTTTGATAAAATTATTGGTTCCAGGAGGTTAAGTTATCTGTTGAACCGCAGTTACGCTTCTTAACTTTATGATATAAGAATGTTCTCTAGTGTAACATTAATTCAAATCGACCTATTCCACATGGAAATATAAATGCTAAAAATAAATTGATTAAAGAGAAACAATTAGAAATTTGGACGTTTTTTATCAAAATAGTATTTGAAGTTTCTGATGGTTCAAAAGATATGATCGCAGGGGCTTACTGATTATGAACTTCTGTGAAATTAAAATATTATAACATCAATGTTAAATTACTGCTTTATGAATGTATACTTATTGATCCTTCTTATTCCTGATTTGAAAGCAAATTAATTTAAGAATAAGCAATACTACAATTTATTCTAGAATTACAATTCCGCTCCCTCTGGTGATTATATCTAAGATAGAGCTGCTTCTGGCAATTAGGTATTAAGATTTATCCATTTTATGAGGTGAATTTATCAGCTACTATTTACATAACTCCTCCTTTATTTTTTAATTGAGAGCATTTTATTCAATCATATAATTGACCTCTATCTAATTAAGATCATTTTGTAACTCAATGTCATAATACTTATTCCAAAACTCTGTTTTAAGATAATTATGGTAAGATACTTTTATTTTTGCCACTTTAACTTCACTAGAGCTGATTGCAATAAAGTATTATGAGAGTTTGCTAGATAATCTGATAGCACAAATATTATACAGAGGATGACCTATCATGTGTTAATGATTTTT